AGACGCCTCGCCCTTCGCCACGGAAAAGCTCGGACTACGAATCTTGCAAAGTGGTAGCTGCTGGTCCCGGTGACGTCGATTCCGGCTGCTGGCTCGCCGGATTGCATAATGCTCCGCGGGTCGCAATCCTTGCTGGTTACGGCGACCTCAAAGGGGAGTTTTCCGTTGCTACGCGCCGCGAAACTTTTGCGGTTTCCATCGTCGACATCCGACACAGGAGACTCGCAGTTCGTCGCCCGTTCGGTGACGGACTTCCCAGGACCCCGTTGCGTCGACTACTAGACGCGTTGGGAAATTTATCGGTTACAAGGGACGAACAACTCTTCGCTGCTTCGATACCAGCGAACGCGAAATTCAGCCATGTTGGACCGCTGGTATTTTTTTTCGTGTGCACTAAATAGCTGACGCATTAAATCTTTGCACTCGACAGATAATTTAACACTAAGTTTGATGCAGAAAATCGACCAGCAATAACGTTTGTCCAGGTTTAATTTCTTTTGAACTCAAAGTGTCGATAAACTGATTGTCGGCGAGGTAAAGGTGACCTGATTAAACTTAAAGCATTATTAGCTTACAGCATAATTCAGCAAGATACAACGTAATTCTAAATAACACAGTATAATACAAAATATTCCTGCAAAATAGAGTATATTACTGCAAAATATAGAGTATTTCAGCAAATTAAAGCATAATACAGCGAAATACAGAATATTTCAGCAAAAATGGCATACTGCTGCAACATACGTGGTAATAGAATGCCAAGAAAGCATCTCGAGTTGCTAGTAGATGCCAGAAAGAAAGGCCTAGAACTTAAAACAATGTGTCTATGCCACATAATATGTACAGCGGTAGTTGAAACATAAATCTTGTTTCTCTCCGCTACTGCACCAATTGAATTTGACCGACCCTAATGATTCGGAAACAATTACTCCCCAAACTACGAAAGTAGGTCGCAATAACCGTCCTACGCGGAAGAACGCCAACGTAGGAGCCCCTCTGGTCCGTCAAGTTCGTTTGCGACTAGTCTCGCGGGCTAACGAATTAATTATTAGTCAGTGCACCGCTGTTGCCGTGACTCGCATTAGGCAAGGAAGCCTGATTACGTAAAAATACATATTTCAATGCACGCCGAAACACCACGTCTTCCCTAGTCCTGGTTAATTAACTAGTTACGAGCGCACGAGACGCACGCGCTCTGCAAATACGACCTCAGAACCGTGCCGTCGGTGTATGTTATCCAGGACGTAGTCAGGCTTAATTTCACGTACCGTTGATGAGACTGTCTGCATGCCGAGGCCAAAGCAAGGACAGCCGGCGCAATATTAATATGCAATCGAAGCCCTCTTCCGCGTAAGCCGGTTACGATGGAGCGTATCGCTTAATTTGATGTTCATTCGATTAATCCACTGCGGTTGTCGGTAGAAATAACAATGGTTCGAAGACCCATAGCGGAGAACGCTATTGGCAATTTGCAACGACGGTCGATATCGAGAACGCCGCAGGGTTTACGTACACGGTGTATCCGTAATTTGACACGAAACGTCTGCTTTTTACGTTCTTTTCCCGTCTTCCCGTTTCGTTCACCTATTTAGCTCTCCGTCTCGTATCGGATAAAACGTCGATTTGACGTCATACCGTCATGTAGTGCTTCGACGTTAAAGTTTCAAAATAACTCGGATTGACTGCCAGACTATCCGGGATTAATTTCATTACGGTTGCTTTGGGTGTCAACAGGTTATGCGATAATGCGGATACTTCGTGGAGAAGCACGCAGAAAGTTGCGAAGCACAATTTTTCCTAAGAGGTTCCCTTCTCGCGTGACTGAACTTTAAATATTCGCGGGACGTGCGCACCCTTGGGGCGCACCCCAAACCTAAGGGACGCAATCAGGAAGAATGGCGTAAGGGAGAATTGTTCCGAGATAGGGCGATTCCCTTCTTTGCACACTTTTTTAACACGTGCGTTCTAGGTTCTGAATCGCTTACGTCTCGAGAGCGGAGTGGAATTTTGCATGCAGCTTGAATAACAATATGAATTTTTGGAAAGGGTGCAGTAGAAGAAGTAACTAATGATGCCAATCAGTATAGAAATTTGAATAGATAATACGCTAAGTTAAAAAGACATAGAATAAAGAAATTGAAGTGACACCCTCAGAATATTTCCACAACCATACCAACGAAGTGAATTTTCTTATCATATAAAAATTATCATTCCAACCAAATGAAATATGATTCTTTTGTTCTAATGCTCCTAGAGCCCTACGAAGAAAATTAATTCCACGTTTTAGATCCACTTTTTTCGCCAAGACACGACGCCCCGCGGCGAGACCCGCGAAACAAGTTTCTAAAGGTAGATTTTGTTTTGAAAGGAAGACCTCGGCCATACGTTGCATCCCCGATCGCCGATAACCCTGTTACCAGCGTACGTTGTACCGAGTTCGCAGGCCCATTTAAAGTATCACGATCCCGGTACGGATTCAGCGGTACCTTTCGCAGGGCATAATGCTGGGTTGGGGTCGTTCTGGTTGGCGAACGTGACGCGTAAAAATATCATGTAGGGTACCGATACATCACGCGATCAGATAAAGGAAAGGGGAGCTGACTTCGTCGTTTGTCGTCCAGATAGAATCTCGGACCCGCGGTGGCTCGCTTTATTTTTGCACCCAACTATTTTGATGACTCAACTGCTAGACGGACGTTACCTTGGACCCGTGGAGAGTCCGCGACATTCAGTTTCACCGTAACGGATTCTCACGAGATCAAGATCGCGTGGTAGCCCCTAACCGTTTTTCTAAAACGTGGTTAGCGTTTACGTGAAGGAGATCGGCCGTCGCGACAACGCGATTCTGAAATCTTCATCTGCATAACTTAGACTTCCACGGAAATTAATGGTTAAATTTGTCTCTTCGTCTTCTTCTCCCTGCAGAGAATAGGAATCCTGGTTCAACGAACGAATTACAGCGGAACATCCGTTATCTGAATTATTATGAAAATACGACTGTTCGATTGAGGACACTGTTAAATAACTTACTTTTCTAACATTTGATCATTTTATATATTAAATGAGCTTTTAATTAATTTTCTTACATATGAGCCGTTCATTGCACAAATCGACTAGCTCCATGAAACAAAAAGTTAAGAAATGCGATGAAATAATGTATATTGTCTTTTAAAATTCCCTTCATAATATAAATTCAAATAAATATTGTAGAATACATAAGTATAGATGTAGCTTTCATCTAACGGTATATAAAATTAATAAGAAAGAATAGCCAAAAAATAATTGTCACTAATGTTAACATTTTTATGTGACTGGTGAATCGATTTGTGCAGTGAACGACTCATATTTATATGCACTCTACATTTGCACTAAGTATTCGAAAATTTATGTTAACAATGATTTATTTGTTTCATCTATATCGACCGAATCTATTGAACGTTGATGGTTGATAATTCCGATACCGGCGTACCTGCTGTATTCCCCTCTTCCCGCCTGCTGATGATCACTACCTATTCCCCACTTCACAGCCTCGCGTAATTACTTTATTGACAAAGCAATCTCATTCCGGCATCTTCGCGTGCGTAACGCGTTCCTCCGTGGAAATTTCACGCGCCAACGTTTGTCTTCAACTTCGCGTTCGTTGGCCAATATTTGCATTGCAAGCGTTTGTTATTTACGCGTACACACAACGCGAATATTCATCGTTCGTCTAGCGCGACATGTCGACTTCGAATTGTATTGACACGCGAAACATTATGGGTATGATTATTCCCGTACCGAATTTCTCTTTTAAAGTACACCAGCGCTCTGGAAAAATTGATCTTTCTTAAAAGCTATACATTAAAAAAAAAAAAAAAAAGGATCGATCAAGGATTCAAAATGTCAAGAACAATCACAATTCTATGTTCAACTGCTTGCTATATAACAAATAATTAAATAATGTGAATAGATGAATAGGTTGAGATACCTCGAATCTACATTAAAAGGTAACGTCACCAGTTGAAGATTAGCGATACGATTTTCTAGTTTCAGTGGCACAAAGCGAAATGCTCGATGACCTGCTCGACTGCCATAAATCGTGGGTTGTACGAGCAGATCGCAACACGCGCGTAATCTCTTTTCTTCGAGTTAAACCCGCGCCGAGCACAAGCGAGCTGCTCTATCGCGCGATCTACTTTTGAGTTAACTACCAAGGAAATAAAGAACTGGGTCGACCTGTCCTACAAATCGGCTGGAATGCCAGAAACGAGAGCTGCAGGCGATAACGAGCCTCGAAATTGGAGCTATTAATATTTTCACACTGATGATCCCGCGTAACGTCTGCGACTCCGTTAGACCGTGACTCGTTCCGATTGGCCGACCGTGAAACACGTTTAGGAGTACCTGTCACTTTCGTTGGCGCGGCCGAAGCATGATCCGAATATACGACGCGCAATGGCGATCAATTAAAGTTAATTGCGACGTGTAATGAATTTCATTCGAGCTCCGCCGTTGTTGGAAACGAGAGACGCTAGAGTATCCTAATTTTGCGATCGCTATTCTTGCGTAATTCTGGGGCGATATCATTGTTTACTTTCGAACAAGATATCTCTCTTGGAGGACACATTATTTTGTTTCGTTTTTAAAAAATTATCAGGAGAACTCAAATATTTATTGAATACTAATTCCATTTTGATAATGTTTTATCTAGGGATCCGTAATTAAACATCGAAATCGTAAAATGTGTCTACAGCGTGATGAGCGATTCTCCGAACTTTTACGAAGACCAGAAGCACCGTAATAAATGGATTCAGCGAAAATACTAATCGTTTCGCGCCAGTGTAAACGTAGCGTTCAATTTCCCAAAGAGCCGCGATAAATAATTCTTGTTGGCGGCTGGCATTACACGCTCGACCGCTCAATTTTTCCCGTAAATCCATCAAATGATTCTCGGGCGAGCACTTCGCGCGGCGCGCGAAATTATCTTTCACACCGGAAGCCGTATAAATCAAACCACCTACCGTGATCTTGAGGTCCCATGAGTCGCACGTATCGTATCGCCTGCTGAAACGAAGCACCGTGTGCGTCTTGTTCTCGTAACCCAGTAGCAGACTATAGTCTTGGCTCGAGTCCATCTGGGGATCTCTGCTGCCGTTCTTCACGTGTCGGTCCTGAAAAGAGCAATAACTTTGCGTTAAACTCTGCGCCAATCGACCAGCAAAAACGTTAGGGTAACGTACGATGCCTGTACATCGTTTCGTTTAAAAATTGCCTATACGTTCGTATGATGCGCAGCTTTTTGAATCGCGAACTATGGCGCTGGACGTCTCAAGTTTCGGTAAAATGATATGAAATGCGTTGAATTATTGAAAATCGTTTGGCTGTTTCGCCAGTTCAAAGAAATTATGTTTGTATAAATGATGAGGCTAGATATTAGCACTTGTAGCAGAGAATTATCGGTTATTTCGTTTCGATCATTGAAATTGGACACGGTCGATCTTCCGAATGAATAATATATTTAACGATTTGAATATTTGACGATTAATATTAATTTATACAGATTAAGAACAAAGTAGAATAGAGACTACTCGTTGTCATGCTTTTTAACCCCTTAAGCTACGATTTAAGCTTCATCAGCCTGGGATCAAAATGTGATGTTTACAATTGCACCGAACAATCCGCCGCCGCGGGCCAGGCTCGTGATAATCAGTTTTGCCACAAATATCCACGTAAATATGTATCCACGTTTAAACCTGGAGGTTAAATGACTAATAAGAATTGTTTCTCCTGAATCTGACCAACTTCAGATTCACACGGGGTTATGGAGTGCCAACAATTCTACGAAATTCCCAGTCGAATGGCAACTATTTCTCCACCGATCCACTCGGCACGCTGCGAGATTCCCAAAAACCAGAAGCCACCTAAGCGCGTCCGAACAAGAGGAGAAACAGAGCTCCGAAGACGGAATCGCAGAGGGAAGAAGAACTATTCATCGCGGCGCCTTTTTCGTTGATCGGCTTTTTGCTCGGGGGTGACACACCTAAGCCAGACACCAGAAGAGGATCGCAGCGGGTTAGTTAAGCGTCTGAATCTTCGTACGCCCGAAGACAAGTTTTTCAGCGGGATTCCTGGTCGCCGCCTCGATATAATTATCCGCGGTTCGCGACGGCTGGACGGCGCGGTGCCGACGACGCCTTCCCGACTCCATTGTTCTCTCGTGAACGACCCGTGGGCCCGCTTTTTTCTCAACTTTTCGGCGAGCTTTATTAGAATTTAATTTACCTCCGAGCCGGCGGACAGGCCAGAGCCGTCGTACACGCGGCGTGAGCCCTGACGAGTCACGCGTGTTATACTTCTGGCCTCCTTTTGTCCGGGCATTCTTCGGCACCGCCATTCGTCTCACCTGCGAGTCGCCTTGCACACGTACAGGCCCAACGTATGCGAAACTGCAGCCTGCGACCGCAGGATGGAACGCGGGGAAGAGGTAAGAAAGAACGCCCGGAATATCCATTTATGTTAGCCTCGACGCGTGAAAGGCTCGAACGAGCCCGTCGCGCCCGAGAACGGGCCTGATTGGATATAAAATATAAAGTGTTCGAAATAAAAACCTGCAGTCAGAACGAGGGGCCCCTGGACGACAAAAACGACCAACTCTCAGCGCGATTGAAAAAAGAGGCGCAGGTGTAGGAACGCGCCAAGGTAACGATATTGTCAAACTTGCCCCGCAAGGTTGCAGGCTGCGCTCCGAAATCTGCGAAACGTGGTCTAACATGCCATTACGGGATTGTTAATGTACTGTATTGTCGATAGAAAAATTGTCTCTGTCTTTAGGTATAAAGTAGAGGGTATATTCATGTTCCTGATACCCTCGTTGCTAAGAAGTCATAGAGGAAGTCACGAAATCATTAGTAACTTATGAATTGCATTCGTATTCAGAGCATCGATAAATCGATTGCTCGAATTGCGACTGCGTTTCGAGAAGCTCATTCCAAGGATTTTCTACTCGCGAATTTTCCTGGACGGCGCAGATATTTCGCAACAATCCTTTCCACGGTGTCGCCTCTTTTTCGCGTTCTTTTTCCTTTTGTCGCATTAGACGTCTGCAATGGACACGAGAAACTACTTGAAAATGTAACGCAGTGAATCTGGGAGAAAATTCGAATTCCTCGACGGAAACTAGAACCATTCTTCCGCTTTGAGAGCGCGACGATCGCGCTTTGAGCCGGCAGTCGACGTCGATATTGCTTCCGCGTTTAGCGTTTCGATAAAGGCTTCCAGTGGAAAGAGAGACTCGTGCACGCCGATACCTAACAACTACGCCCTTTTGTCTCAACGACCAGAGAATCCGCGTAGCTGAAAATAAGATGCCATGGATTTAAAGTGAGTAACCTGCTACTTTTTATTGCTAGATGAACGCTGTTTTAATCGCTCGCGACGGAAGTTGTCGAAGGAAATTAAATTCCTCAGGTGTACTTGGCAATTGCTTCAGTAAATATTCAAGGTTCTCGTGACAGCTTGGCGATGATAGAATTTTTATTTGGAGAAATTGTGTTTCATTTATTGAATTTAATATCGACTAATTTCATCAGTCTAATTATATCTTTCTCCATGTATTGTAACATATTCAATAAATTATGACTCCCGGAGGATTGATTAAACATGCGATTGCTCATTGCAGTCCCAACATTCACAAGAAAAAGTAATCATAGTACCTTAATTCTTCCAGACATGAATTTTTTTTTCTCGTACTTATGTAATTTAACTTTTAGTTAACTTGGACTAAAATTAGTATGATCAATTTTTTTTAAAGTCTTAATAACGTGGTTTTTGATAAAAAATAGTGTCGTTAATGTGTGAGTCGTCGACTAAATTTTGTGTCCTCAATTGTGGACGCCAGGTCTGAAAGGATTAACTATTTGCTTTTACAATCCTTTCGCAATCTGACCAGGTGAGAGAACGGTATTGCACCTGGAGATCGAGACTCGCGATCAGCCATAGCGTATCGGACCTTGGACGTCTAGAACGAGACTGAACTTCGCGACCAAAAGCCTGGGAAACCGCGAGCACTCGAAAAAAGTGGACGCATCGGTACGTAGCGCGAGACGAACGAGTAATAAATAATTTCCAGCACCGTCTCGCGCAACTTCTTCAATTTCCGCCGCCACGTCGGAAGTGGGGAGCATACTTTTCCCCCTTCTCGAGCCGCCAGGAGCAGCCGACGCGCGACCGATCGAAAAGTCGGACTTTCATGTCGTTCTTACTTCCACCTTACCAACGACCGGCTGGCTGTCTACTCCCAGAACGTGCTCGCGGGGGCGTTCGTTCCACCGAAAGGTGTTCATCAATTTTCGTGTACGCGAGACACGGTCCGTGTGCACGAAGCAACCGTTCCCCGGGGTGTTGCAAACTCTCGTTCATCGATGCACGTCGAACGGTGAAAGAAAATCAAATCACGTACCGCCGAAACTCACAAATGTACACTCGAGTGTTCTGGAGTTAAACGATCGAACTTAGTCTATGAATGAAAATAATTTTAATTTCACCCATCACTGTAGGAATCCAGGTGAGAAACGTGGAGACCGATTTGTAGATACATTGATACCGATATCTTTATCTATACTGAATCACTTGGTCATCCAACACCACTAGCACGTTGTCGCCTGCTGGACCAATTACCTCAACCGCACCTCAATATGTCCACATCTTTCAAACAAAGCCGCTTTGGATCTACATGTACACAACATTTTGATCTTATTTTAATTCACAGTAGACGCTGCCTCGTTAACCAGTTACGCTCTGCACAATTTCCCTCTTGTTGGCGCGTAGAGAGGACGAACGGCACATGAAAAGAGACATCCATCGTTTTCGCCAGTGAAAATCGTTCACGAATGGACGAGTATTCCGTTTCCGCTCGCGCTTGCGCAATTGTCTTCTGGTCTTCAATCCAGATGGTAGTTTACTGCCGCCCCCGCGTACGCGCGCGGTTGATACCACGGAATACCGCGTATCGCCGTGGAAGAATGGGGAACGCGTCCCGCAATTATACGAATTAGGTCCGCGCTATTCACCAGAGGGAGGACAATATCTTCTCAGCACGCGCGTTTTGTCGAAAACGGGGTTGGGGGCGCGCGCGTGCATGTACGGGGGGTAGGGAGCGCCGAGCGCGTTTAACTGCTCTGATTTAAACGAGACGCGAGTTTCGGCTTCCGTTTCGATTCACTGGCCTTTCGAACGAGCGGATGCTTTTTCGGGATCGTATTATCGAATTTGTCGACGCTCGTCACCGGAGCTTGTAGATCGTTACAACTGGCCGTCAGTCGTTGCGATAAAACGTTTCCCCTCTATTTCGTTCGCTTCCGCGCAGAGAAGTGGTCGCAGTTTGAAGATCGGGACCACCGAGCATGCGAATTACCTGTCGATGAGGCGAGCAACAGGAGTTAAATTTGAACTTGAGAATTACTTAAAGCAGATACAGTAATTCCATAAAACAAAAAGTTGAGAAATGCGATCAAAATGGTCGTTGAAAGAAATTATTTATTATTCAGTGGCCAAATAAATTTTGATAATTTATGGTGTTAATCTTTATTAGAATAAAATTTACTTGCACAATTCCTGCACTATTTTCCTTTAATTTCACTTGTAGAATTGCCAGTCATCTCCTACTCGCTTCTGCCCCACTTCTCTGCTCTGTCACCTGTTTCAAAACTGTCCGTAGCGACACTAGTATAAGAGTGTCACGTTTTTCTTTACATAAATATAAAAAGTTATGACTATACCAATTGCTTCGACACTTAAATAAGATTTGTCAAAAAGTAGAAGTAATCACTTTGTGCAGTGAACGGGCCTCAATTATAGACCTGTGTTGTTTGTTTGTAGTGTATTAATTTAGTAATACCTTCACGAAGGTTTATAAGTTGCCCTAGGTCGCGTGCAAGCCACGGTGTGTTTGCGCGTTTCCATACACCATTCGTGGCTACTAAAGAAATCAGGAACTGTACGTTCTTGAAAACGCTATCGCGATGGAAACGTCGTTTCCGCGGCTGTACGCGTCCCACGGTGCTATTGCCGTCGCTTTCCATCGACTGTCGATCTCGTGTTTATTGTCGCGAGGGGATCATACTATAGCAAGCAAGCGACAGGACATGAAATCAACCCTTGCGCGGAGTTGGCT